TATATGAGCTGGAATCAAAATATATGCTTTAACTTTGTTATATTGTTAAAATATTGATTTTGATTATTTAACCCACATATACATTTTGCATTATGTTGACAAGTACATTTCATTAAGTTGGGAACATGGAGGCACGAATCTCGATTGATTAGTTTTAATTGTTATGATTAATTATCTAGTAACACAATTAACATTTTAAATTGACTAAACTTGGCGAATCAAGTAAATTAGCTTGCTAAATTTACGTTTAACTATCGCTGACATCCTCATTTTGTCATTTATATAACATAGGTTTTATGGACTGTACATAAGTTGAATTGTGCAATTTTGAGACTGCTTTATGCCATTAAACAAAAGATAATTTTAGTAATAATTACCGATATATGAACACAAAATAATAGTATGACATAATATACAATTAAATCTAATATTATATCAATTACAAAATGAGGATGTCAGCGATAGTTAAACGTAAATTTATCAAGCTAATTTACTTTATTCGCCAAGTTTAGTCAATTCAGAATGTTAATTGTGTTACTGGCTAACTAATCATAACAATTAAAACCAATCAATCGAGATTCGTGCCTCGATGTTCCCAACTTAATGAAATGTACTTGTCAACATAATGCAAAATGTATATGTGGGTTAAATAATCAAAATCAATATTTTAACAATATAACAAAGTTAAAGCATATATTTTGATTCCAGCTCATATATTTAATTTATCTATAGATTTGTCGTACATAATGGAGTCTGATGACATGGATCACCCGCTGTGTAACTGTACCTTCAAAAAGTGTGACAATACCAATAACTACTGCCGACTCTGTATGGAAACGTCTACTAATGACTACCGGCGCTACTCATCCCAATGCGAACGAAAGTGCCGTAAATCGTGTTTCGATGAGTTCTATCAAAATAGTGTATTCGAGATAAGCGGTGAAATACGCGACGCTATTTTGACCAAGTACAAAATTAATCCAAGAGACATTGGACCTGATACCACCTTGGTCTTCATAGCGGCTAAATATGCCGAGGAATTTAGATATACACACACGCCTAAAATGAGCTTGTTTGATTTCATAGCTATGATAGGTGGTTTGTTTTCGTTATGGGTAGGTGCGTCGGTTATTACCCTGTTCAATGGGTTTGAATTTTTGCTGAAAAGGTGTCTGGGTAGTAAAAATTATTGTACAGCTAAGAGTCGAAAACAGAGTTTTTTCAATAGAAAATTTAATACAAGAAATACGGGAAATATGAACGAAAATGTTCCTGTTAAGTATCAATATTATGGCTATATTTCGAATTTAAAGTTGTTTTTAAAATAATATTTTTTGATTATCATACTAAAATATATTATTATAAACAGTACAGTACAAATTGTGTATCATATAGCTAATATATATATTTTCAAAATCAACCGTGTTAAAGAATTATATTTTTAAAAATAATAATAGCTTTGTATAATCTTTATATAATTAGATAATTATTATTTCTGTATTATAATTTCTAATTACTAAATAATAATAATTATATATAAGTTGACAAAAACAAAAATTATTGTTTTTTCTATAAATATTAAATCATTTGTGGCAAGATAAATTTCCAATTTTATGCACATCCATGACTGACTTAAACATCAAAAGTACGCAAGATAATTGCAACTGTGGAATTCGCACCTCGATACAAGATCGGAAAGATCCTCGAAGACCCCATATCATCCACCACAATTCAATTCTCTCATCGTCGCAGGCCTTTTTAATCAAACCTTGCTCATTTACAAGCGTAATCTCGATCACTGCGACGTTCAACGTGTCGGGGCAATATTTTTGATTAACATTGCACTCAGCAATTTTGGCATTTTTAACTTCGTTCGTAACAACGGCCACTTTGATCATGCACATAATCTGAAACAATGGAAAACGTAGACTGACACATGCCTCGTATAACATGCCAATGAGCTCCACATAAGTGCGAACTTTTTAATTAAAACCAAAATTAAATTTTCGGAGGGCATCTTCCAGAGAATTAGCTTGGTTCTTTTGTACGCAATTTGAATTAGTTTGTCTGGTTTATTTTTATTGAAATCGCCATTATTTTTGTTTGAACTTGAACCCTGTGAACCCCCAGAACCTCCTGAACCCTGTGACCTTTCTGAACTCTGTAAACCTCCTGAACCCTCTAAAACCTGTAAGTTACCCGCAGTTTGGGAATTACTTACTTTAGAATTAGTACTATAATTTTGATTATTTAACTTAGCTTGATTAAAACTAGCCTTGGTTTTGAATATACTAGCTTTAAGATCGTTAAAACTTTGTTGCGATTCTGGGCTGTGATTAATTAATAAAAATTCTTCAAACGTATAATTTTCTGCTTTATCAAGTACCGTGATCAGTTTTTTCATAGCGTTAATATTCAAGAGATTATCGATATCTTGCGAATTATTCGCACCTTAGCAGCGCTTATTTCAGCGAGTACATTTTTGATTGCGCTTATGTTTAATCGGGAATCAGCATATTTAGTTATATTAAATTTGTCATTATTATTATCCAATTTGTACTTGTTGTTATATTATCGGTACTATTTGAAAGTATGATATCAGGATTGTTTGCTAGTTCAGTTGAATTGATATGTACTGTGTCATTTTGTTCGGTTATTTCAATATAATCTTTGTTAATGTCAATTGTATCGTTGAATTCATTTTGATTACTTTCACCAAGAACATTTTTAAACATACCTTCTGGTATACCTTTGTTGAATTTACATAGGCATAAAGGCAAATTTGTACCTTGTTCAAACAGAGTTTCACAATCATTGGTCGCTGTAAAACATCTATCATTTTGGGTAATATCAGCCAGACCACTTGTTGTATCGCATAAGCATGTATGTATTGCAGTATAGTTGCTCGAATAATATTTGCAATTAAGTTCCTTAGAATCACATTGTTCATTACCAAGGTTAACTTGCTCAAAATTAATATCATTATATCTAATAGATGTAATATTAGAAGGGCACAGGTATATTGGTGAACCTTGGTGTTTATCGAATATGTCCAGGCACATTTCATTAGTGGTATAACAACCACCATCGTTGCATTGTAAACTAATTAAGAATTTTAAAATAATTCATTACCTAATTGTTTTAATTGTAGCTAAATTAAAGTATAAAGTTACAATTGTTAAAAATATTTTAATTTTCATATTTTATTTTTGATTTTAAATAAATTTAATTGCAAATATTATTCGAGCAACTATACTGCAATACATACATGCTTATGCGATACAACAAGTGGTCTGGCTGATATTACCCAAAATGATAGATGTTTTACAGCGACCAATGATTGTGAAACTCTATTAAGAATTTTAAAATAATTCATTACCTAATTGTTTTAATTGTAGCTAAATTAAAGTATAAAGTTACAATTGTTAAAAATATTTTAATTTTCATATTTTATTTTTGATTTTAAATAAATTTAATTGCGTATTAACTTAAATATATTGTAAACTTTAAGTTACGCAAATAAATAATATTATAGATATATATTTATTTCATTTATAGCAAATTATTTAGTATTTTTTAAAACATTACCCAAAAGTGTACATAATAAAGTTATTTGTTTTTAAACACTTGCTTATGTTATATTTAATCATTTTAAAAAATTTATGATAAGGTAACCATTTATGTATTTGTAAAAAAAATTAAAATAACTTAAACCTGGGTGATATTTGTCATATTATTTACTACCCATCTACAATATTAATATTATATTATTTGTGAATTTTAATAAAATACTGCTAATTTTAAATTTTAAAAAATTAAGCATTGTAAGTTTTCAATTTTAATTAATATTCATAATAATAATTAACTATTAAATAGATAATTTAATTTTCTCACAATTATGAAAATAACAGCATTTATCAAAAGTTAAAAATATTTTAACATAAACACAGGCTGCAATAATAAATTGTACATAATTTAAAAATTATGTATAATTATGAGAAAATCACATATTTAAATTATAATAGTTCAGATATGATACATTTATTATAAATTATACATTTAAAATAATACCGGTGTATGATACCTTTATATTATTTCTATTATATATTTTCATCTTGGTCAGGTTTAATATGACACAGTTGCTGAACCAATGCCGATATAAAACAATCACCTAGTACATTGGTCGGAGTGCGCATACGATCCCTAGTAATAAATATTTTCATATATAAATATATTATTAAACTATTTAACAAACTAGTAAAACCATGTTAACTAGTTAGATCGGGTGGTGTAATTTTAATAGACCTACATTATCCAATCAAATGCCAGTGTATATGATAATATTTCCATAGGATTTTCAATACCAATTACTGAACAAAATGGTATAAAATTAACCAGGGAACCCCCGACACTGGGTATCGGTATGGCTGGGAACGCCATTGACATTACCACCGAAAATATCCTGATAATTTTATTAATTTTTAATAAAATACAATTAATGTTCTTAAAAAATAAAATGAAAATATAAATTAATTTGTACTTGCCATAATGTAATTAACATTTGCATAGTAACCTCCATGGCCTGCATTTGTGCCACAAGTAGCGCCACCATCGGGTAGTACATCGCGGTGCCATTCATGTTAATAGCCATACCCAGAGGTAAAACAAACTGAGAAACAGCCTTGTTTAAATGATATTTTTCTTCCATACATTTTATGGTAACCGGTAGTGTCAGGGCACTATTAAAAATGTAGGGTATTTGTATTAAGCATAGCACTTTCAAATATAATATGTTGTACCTTGACCCTGATCCAAACGCCATGATTATCGCCGGGTATACGTTGCCGTAAAATGTAATGGGATTTTTGCGTACGACTATAAAGTATATCCCCGGGTATACGATAAACCATATGAAAGCAAATGCAAACACCGTGATACCAAAAAACCAGCCCAATTGTACTAGTATATTTTCTAGTGACCTCATTTTCACAGCCATCACAAACATCCAGCAAAACATACCGATTGGCATTACTCTTTAAAAAATAAATAATAATTTATCCTGATTATATCCTAGCTAAATTTTTAAATACCTGATTAAACTCGAGATTATATTGGTGACTACGGCTTGAGTTTCGACTAAAAGCCTGTGAATAGTGTCGGCCTTTGTGTCCAACTGTTTGACAGCGAAACCCAGTATTAGTGAGAATACACACAACCCTAACATATTTGTCTTGAAAGCCCTTTCCGGCACTTTTTTGTAACCCAGGCTCAGGTTATCCGGGTCTACGGCTACCAGTGCCGTGTAATGTGTGGTGAATGTGGCGTCGATTATGTTATCCGGTATGAGATTCCTATGAATTCATACAAACTTTTAATATAATTATGGTTTTAAATACAGAATATTATGTAAAATACATACATAAACACATTGTATATTGTCTCGTCCTGACTCGTCCCGATTTGTGGATTTATATAACCTTGGTAATTATCCGTTGCATTTTTACTTGGTGCATTTATTGTACCAGGCTTGATTATCATCATAAGACTTGTGCCAAATATTGTGGTAAATGATGAAAATGTCACCACCAATACTATTGTTAACACAATCATGCGCTTATTTTCACCCTGCTTAGTACCAAGGACTACGGCTTGAGTTTCGACTAAAAGCCTGTGAATAGTGTCGGCCTTTGTGTCCAACTGTTTGACAGCGAAACCCAGTATTAGTGAGAATACACACAACCCTAACATATTTGTCTTGAAAGCCCTTTCCGGCACTTTTTTGTAACCCAGGCTCAGGTTATCCGGGTCTACGGCTACCAGTGCCGTGTAATGTGTGGTGAATGTGGCGGCGATTATGTTATCCGGTATGAGATTCCTATGAATTCATACAAACTTTTAATATAATTATTGTTTTAAATACAGAATATTATGTAAAATACATACATAAACACATCGTATATTGTCTCGTCCTGACTCGTCCCGATTTGTGGATTTATATAACCTTGGTAATTATCGGTTGCATTTTTACTTGGTGAATCTATTGTACCAGGCTTGATTATCATCATAAGACTTGTGCCAAATATTGTGGTAAATGATGAAAATGTCACCACCAATACTATTGTTAACACAATCATGCGCTTATTTTCACCCTGCTTAGTACCAAGGATGCCTATTAAATTTAAGGTAATAGTTATTTAAAGTTTATATAGATTAGTTTATACTTAATGCCATGGATGAGATAATAAGGGGCACCATCATCATCATAAATGCCCTGATAATTAAAGTGCCCGGAAGTGAGATATATGTTAATACAACAGGTTTTATAGTAAATAAAGACTTTGCTATGAAACCGCATATTAGGCCCAATATTAGGCATATGATTATTAATAGAGAGTATAGATTGTCCTTGTACCAAGTCAACATAAAATAAATTAAAATTATAAAGCGTTATAAATAAATATTATAATAATTTATAATGTATCATACTTTAAATGTTTTACAATCCATTAGATGAATATGGTTATTTTATACAACAAATGAATTATTATTAAAAAATTATTTTATTTAAAATTATTAAGCCTAAAATATTGTACATATGAAAATAGTTTTATCAATAAGTTAGTTTTTATAAACTAATTGATATATTATATCAAATTATTTATTTATTTTGCTTCAATGCCATATCAATTATGTTCAATATAATATGGTTTATATAAAATATACAGTACCACAAAAAATGTATAAAATTGTATATTCATAATATTTTTAAAATCTCGTTTAATGTTTTATGTTATAAATAATCTAATCAATTAGGCTATAGATATACAATATTGTTGTAGATATAATTGATTTATAATATTAATTTATATTATATTAAAAATTATACATTGTTTTAAGTGATAATAAAATATTACATAT